TTCATCATTGTAATATATAATAAATTAGTTTTGTTTGTCCGTCAAATAGATTGTTGAAAAATGTTAAACACGTATACTTTTAGTTTTGCACATTCTCTACAAAACTGTGACGTAGCGAGCCCCCACTCTTCAACTTTAACGCCTCTTATTTAAGCCATTTTTTGTTTAATTTAAAGGAAAAAAAATACGTATCTAAAATTTTTCTATTATCTAATTGATTGACTAAATTTTTTAGCTAGTTTTACGTACATAAAATTAAGAAAACTTATTTTATAAGTTTTTTTTTTTAATATATTACTAGATACTTAAAAATAAGCTTGCACCATTTTACTGTGTTCTATTTTTCTATATTCATATTTTCAAGGTATATGCACCACTCAGTTGGCCACGAAGCCATATTGTAAATTCACAAAAATATCTTTGCCTTAACAGGCGATGGCACGTGGCCGCCGCGAAGCCTCCGCACGGCCACCGAGCAACGTGTCCTGCCACCGACTTACATAACCTGTTATGTAACTTCGCAATTAACATAATTATTATAGTGTGTGATTAGAAAAAAATGCGAGCTCTGCTGTTGTAATTATGTAGTTCCTTAGTTGCCGCGCGGTATACTCGATTGTTGTTATTTACTGAGGGACCGGTGGTTGTTGGTTTCGTTCGGTTTCGGCATGTACCCCTACTATTACTTATCCACCATATTTTCAAAAGATTTTCAGAGTTAAAGTGATTTAGTTAGTTTTGTGATATTTTTTAATAAAAATTAGGTATAATATGCTTTTATCACTACATATTAATAACAAAGTCTTTCGCCGCTTCTGTCTGTCTGTTTGTTTGCGATAAACTCGAAAAGTACTGGATGGATTTTCATGCGGTTTTCGACAATAGATAAATCAACTCTTGAGGAAGGTTTTAGTGTATAATAAGTTTAGGTTTTGTACAAATATTAATTCAATATGTCAGAAAAAATAAAGCCGATCGGAATCTTTCCTAGAAAACGCTGCCAAAAACTTTTGAGTTGTAACAAAACATTGAATGGTGGAATTGTACCTCTTTAATAGATCTACAAAAAAGTCCGCGGTGGTATATGTCTATATTCCAAGGATAACCAACAATAACAATTTTTATATATACTTAAAACAGTAAAATATTTGTTATTTACGAACTTATTTTTAACAATACATTATTCCTTATTCAAATAAATAAGTTAGATTTTTACACTCTACAAAAGTGTAGAGTGTAAAAATCAAAAAAAATTAATAACTAATGAGTTATCGAAAAAAAAAGCTACGGTCGAGCTATTAAATATCGATGAATAAAAATGAATAGCCGAAACGTATGTACGCGCACAACTTCCGAATTCCAGTTCCGACTGCACCAAATTGGATGATTCTATTTTTTATGTGTTCCACGATTCATGACACGACTTGCATATAAGTTTTTTTTTAACGGTTATAAGACGATACGAAGTTCGCCGGGTCAACTAGTAATATGTTTTGCTTTTCTTAACAATAATATAACATTACAATTTTAATTTAGTCATGTAAACCAAGTCCATAGATTTATATAAAACATTAAAAACAAACTTATGAATTGCGTCATTCTTGACATGCTCCGTGCTCACACGTGGTGCTTTAAGCTGCTTAAAATCAACAACAAATAGGCTTCAAACTGCAGTCCTGCTGTCGACTGATAAACAATTCTAATATTTATACATATCGTCATCATCAGCCCTTTTACGTCCCCACTGCAGGGGCTAAGGCCTTCCTTATGGATGGTTAAGGAGGATGGGCCATGACCCTCCACGCTGGCCCAATGGAGGGTATTAACGACTGCAAATGCAGCCGGTACCAACGGCTTGACGTGCCTTCCGAAGCACGAAGTAGCTCGAGATAAAAATTTTTTGGTCACCCATCCCGCGACCGACCCTTGCGAAAGTTGCTTAACAACAACCGCGGGCCGCGGCGCTTATCCTCTACGCCACCGAGCTGCTTGTAAGCTTTGTATTGTTGACATTGATATTGTCAATTTTTCATTCGAGTTTGACTGAATGAAACCGTAAGATGGAGCCACGAGTGAAGAGAAAGAAATAGGATTCGTAATACCTGTCAAATGAATTAAATACTTTGTTGTTTGAATATTTCTTAAAAATTCAGTTAAATATATAAGTGAATTTGCTTTTATGTATGTAAAAGTGCAAAAAACTATTCAAGTTTTTAAAACAAGAATAGTAAAGCGTCAACATCTAATTGTCGATTCTCTGTTCTCAGGTTAGTATTTCATCAGTTGATATTAGTTATGTAAAACTTATTTGTATTTAATAAAAACTGAAAAACTATGTATAATTTATTAACACGCTTTATTGTTTTTCAATAAGCTTTCAAATACAGTAGGTCTCTTTTAAGTCGCTTTTAATTAATTGAACTGAAAAATGTTTTACTGTATTTCATTAATTCTATTTGTCAAACAGTCGCGATGTACACACAGATCTCATCTGCTTATTAATTCCTTCTGCTAAGTGTTGTATTGTAACTCTTGTTTATGTTTTATGTTTTATAAAAATATGTATATGTCACTTGACAGAGGTGTACAAATGTCAGTGATTTTATTTACCGTAATTTTTAAATTAAATAAATAATTTTAACACTAAAGTAAGGTACAGGTGTTTTAGAGAAAACGATTCTTAACTACCACGCGACGCGGGCACTGTGTGTATTGGTGACTGTTAAAGATTCCAGATATAGCGGGGCCATTAAGGTGCCCTACAAAGCACGGACCAGCTCTAGATTATGATGTTTTGGTCACTTAATACCGATCCTTCCTAAAGTTGTATCATACACCGAACTCTTTAACTACCGCGACATGTATTTAATAATGCCATAGTTGATAGTTTCTATGTTTCAATATGGGATGATGATTGCTTGTTTGTCTGGCTGTCGGGCAGATAATTTATTGAATTAAAAAATAGTATTTATTTTTATTTTTTGCTTAATAAATAAATAAATTACGGCGATACATTGAGATGAAATGCCATTCCCCCACTCCTCGACTTTACTGTCTATTATCTAAGCTATTTCTTGTTAAACTAAAGCAAAAAGTATGTATCTTATATTTTTTTATTATCTGAATGATAGACTAAATAGAATTTCTTTTTTTTATAGTTTTTCTGTTGTCTGTATGGACATTTTATATTATTTTATGATTGTTTTTTCTATTCTATAATTCGGACAAGGTGAAAAAAAACACAATGGTCACATGTACATAAATCTTATAATCTTCCTCTTATCTCACATAAAATTCAGAAATAATACAATAAAATCTTCTCTTACATTGCACATTAAAACAACGGTTTTGTTCTTAAACTAGGAAATATTAAATTCACGTGGATAAAATTAAAACAAGACGCGGTAACAAAAATGGAAGTTTTGACTAATTTATAAATATTATAATTTTAAACATATTAAATAAAATTATCTTTAAACTTTTGGTTGATATATAAAAGAATATAATAATAAGTCAAAACATTTATTATAAAATACTCGGTGAACTTATCTTCAAAATACAATTAAATCTTATTATAATCAAACGAATATCCAGAAAATACAGCCCAAAAGTTTGTGAGGTTATAACAATCATAAAAATTAGAATTTTGGCACAATATTGTTATTTCTTTTCGAATCATACAAATTGTCAGATTGCACAAAAATATTATTTATTTATCTTGTTTTCTTTAATAATATAAATTGGAACACTTCACAATTACGTTTTAAAATCGAAAAATATCAAAGTTTACATCCATTCAACGATTCATTATTGATAACAAAAATTATTAATGATTAATCTGTCTAACATTCCAATTGTATTATTACAAAAATATTTGTAGTCTTTATTTTTTGAGATTTCTGATATTCAAAATAAACATAAAAGTAACACATATCGCAATAAAATCGTTCGATGGACCTAAACAATCAATACGTACATTACACATATATAATTTATTATGTATATCGTTGTTTATTAAGACACAACTTTTGTACTGAAGTTATATAGTGATAAATTATACAAATACAGGCCTGCCTTATCATTAATTGATCAATTCTATTCTTATATAATCACAATCAGTCAAAAGTTTGACACAGATGAAATAATAAATCTTTCATCACACAATATAGTCAAAAATGAACTTTTCTAATGTTACAAAAATGCTTCTAGTGATGTCTTGTCGACATTTCTGTACCATCGATAACCTATAACAATATTAAACTTAACGTTAATGTCTTTTGCAGTACATCGAGATCCACGACCAAGACAGTCCTCAATAATAAGTATCTATATCAGTGTCAGTTTATACATTATTAATAAAGTCATTTAAAAAGTTTAACGTTCTTATTTTTTTAAATACAAATGCGTGAAATAGAGTGGAAGCAAACTTGTTTTTTTTTTGTTTAAAAATTACCGCTTTAATTTCTCGATATATTTAATGTAATTTAAAAATCACTAGTGAAAATTGATTTCATAATACTACTTTAGTGACAGGCCCGTGAAATAATGAAACGTCCTTTCTTAATTATGCCAAGATAACACTTAATAATTAATTGAAATATATTAATAATGAAATTGTGCTGGTCGTCACCACTTCTCGGGTATCCCAAAGGAATCACCATTGAATAGTAAATAAAACTTAACTATGTTATTATTTTTAACCTTAACTTCAAGTAATCATTAAAAACTAATAAGTTCTTTTATAATTTTCTTAAATTTATCTAAGAATATTGTATGTCAACAGAAAAAGATGTGTTTATATACAGAAACGAAATCTTCAAATTTATCTTACATCACAGCAATCGCCTGAGAGACTCAAAACTTAATACTAACATTACTTTTAAATTGTCAAAAAAAAAAAGAAATTATAATATCCTCTTTTATGGTTTATAAATTCTTAATAAAAAAAAAGAAACAACTTTTTGTCGAAACTAATCTTTGGCCTCAGATCTTTTTTTCTTGTCATTTTATGTTTATCATTCGTATTCCTCCTCGCCGATGAGCTTAATATTATTTATTTTTAAATACCTAACACTGAGACGGGAGAATTAGTTTGTTTTAAATAACAGAACTGCAATCACAAACGTTTGTCATATAAATTCATCATAAAATCGAAGATGTAAATGATACAGTTGATAATAATGGTGATTCCGATTTAAGTACATTCAACAAAATAAGTAATACGTATTATGGCATCGCTAACTACACTAAAGTTACTAATAATTAAGTAAATAACTTACAAATAATTCTATATAAATAAAATCGGAATGTTCAAAATATTTGTTCAACTAGTCTAATTTACTCTCGCAAATGGTAACAATGATCGAAACATTAAAAATACTTTATCAAAAATCTTCAATGGCGTCGCAAACGGGATACGGACGCGCGAAATCTCATCGAGACTAAATCGCATGAATACATAAAAATTACTTAAAAAAATAATATGGACACTTCAACAACCGTTAATTGACGGGATAATTCACCATCCAACAACTATACATTATGCCAACATGCACGATACAACCATGAACTATGCCGAGCTTACCATTACTAGTCACACCATAACATTTCTGGATACACCTATCTAATCAATATAACCACCGGACAGCCCTGATCTTACTGACACCGACCTTTTCACTCTTAGATAATACTGTCGTACAACATCACTCCTCTAACGTTCCAACGCCTCACAGATATAACTTCTAAGAGCTTCAGGATCGATCAAGGGAACTCTTTAAAAATGCATTAAGAAAATTTCTTTGCCTCCCGGCAGTATAAGTATAGATTAATCTATGTATATTTACCTAAATAATAAATATTCTAAATATGGAAATAATTTTGTATCAGATTTAAATCATCGTGTGCATAGAATATACTATAACCGTTAACATAAAAGTGCACGCTTTAAAGAATTCTCGTTTCACCCTTTCGTTCCTTACAACCTTTTACATACAGTATAATGTCCTGAGCATCGTTTGGAAGGTTTTCAACAATTCTAACCTACTGTTTTACTTAAACTAGGAGAAGATCACCTCGTTCACATCTGTTTCTGACTTGACTTTGACCATGGAGGGATTGGCGGTTGTGATGTCGGGTCCTTTGGGTCCGAACTGATAGACCAGGCGTGCGGTGGGCACCGACACCAGCACTGACTGACGATAGTGGTACCTCATCGCCCGGCTGAACTTCTCGAAGGTCATGTTGTCGTTCTGCTTCATCTTGCCCCATAGTTTCGCTACTTCGTCCGGCTTCATGAATCTGTAACCAAATTATAGTTTGCTATTAAATTTTACGAATTGAGTTACCGGATATCAATTATGACATGTTTTCAATGTACCACTATTCATGGCTTTTTATTATTTAATATTTATACACCCACTATTTTCACTATCGCAAATAACTCCCCCGAAAATGTATTGGTAACGCCAATTTTCTTTCTAAAATATTCAACGCGATTTATTTTATTGAAGATCTTTTATACAGTATTATACTCGTAGATAACTATTGTGATTGAAATATGGCCGTTAGCTAATTGACTTTCGACCAATGTCATTAGCTGATTACACTAGCTTGTAAATGAGTCGCTGTACGTTTACAATAATAACGCATTGTGATAGATAATAATTTTTGTTGCAAAATTTATTTCTTTTTATAGGATATTATTCGCAATGGTGTACACAAGTATTTCGTCATAACAAACAATTACTATTAAGATATTTTATTAATAATGCATTTTTATAATGTATATAAATATTTCCAGTTAGTTGTAATCAGGTAATATAAATTCAAAGTTAATAAAAATATGTTCCGCATTGCAAAATAATAAAAAAAAAAACTTGTTTGAAAGGCATTATTTGAGATATCTCAGAAATTACATAAGTTTATTGATGAATAAGCAATTATACTGTCAAGTCCAACTGGATATACTAATAATATAGCGCTTGAAGTAATTTTATCATTATATGGATTCTCCGCGTTAATGGAAGAACTACTTGTGGCTATGGAGCATATAGTATTAACATCGGTGTCAAGTTCTGATGCAAAATGTCCAGTTAATTGTGATCGGAGTCAAGGCTCACTTGTCATTATGGAGCCAACATGGACTGAGGATTTACAGACATAACGTTATACAGTTTATGACAATGAGCCTATTCAGGTGTCCGTGCCCTTGGATCATCAATGGCGAATCGGTGCGAGAATCGATGGAATAGATGCGCTCGTAAAATATTACAGGCCTGTATTCCTTCAATGCATTTTATTATTATATTTTAAACATTAGAGAAAAATAAAATATCTCATCATATAAAAATCGTGCTATAAATTGATAATAGCAAAATTTACTTTTCATAGACTCCTGTAGATTTTGTAGATATTTAAAACCTCAAACAACATCTCTTCTCTTATATTGTTTAATTAATTTGTTTATGTATTGATTCTTCTTATTTCAATTATTTAGATATATCTTTCTGTTCAATGCAAATAAAAAAACAAGTCTGCGTTATCGATGACTAAAAAACAACCGCTGGCAATGGCATTGGCAACACATAGCGTGTCTGCTTCAATTTTTTTCTACGTCGTCATTTACTATAATTGCCTTTTTTATGTTGGCTATTGGGCATCCTGATCGATTGCGGGGACCTTCGGCTGATTCGTGCTTGTAATAGTGTTTCCGAGTGATCTGATAGAATAATTATCGAGAACTTATTTCTAAACGTTATTTCAGCAATTGCCATTATTATGTCCACTTCAATAGTCATATTGTCTGTAATATGGTCATGAATATTTATGAGTCCGTAGGCATAATATAGTCTAAGATTATGAGGCATTGATTTAAGTTGATCAAAATTAAAACAATTTATAATATTGTATTGAATCTTGTATTTATCATTATTTGCAAAATGCATTTTATAGTTTCACAAACATAATTTTGCTGTTTCCAAATATTCCAAATATGTGTTTGTGACAGCGTGTAACCTTTTGTCTGTATTGTCATGTGTGTCTCGTCGATCATTAACCTTCTCCGAATGATTCACGAATTTGGATGCCTGATGCGTCCGAGCGAGGCCGAGCTTTGGCCTTGCCTTGTATCGTGGCATCAGCAGGCCAAGGATTGTCCCTACGTGCATCGAATTCGTGAAGGGTGAAATTGTATCATCTATTTTAATGTAAACGTGAAAATCATCGATAAAATCGCGATTTAACTGTTTATTTTTTAGGAGAAGTCGATCAACTTTGGAAAAAGTAAATATACATAATATGTTAAAGAATTTCTGATAATAAACATTTAGGTAGTGATTTTAATGAGGATGTTTTCCATTAGAATTCTAGACCACGGCTTTGTTTTGGTAAAACAATGTCATCACTTTGGATACATATAGTTAAGCCAAGGTTTATATTCCCTGATGATTATCATGGGCAACAATAGGTCAATAAAAAACGGTTAATTAAACAGTATGGTTTCTGATAACCAGCAAACTTGTTAGCAATCTTAATTATTAGTTATTTTATATCTGATATGATTCTTCAATTTCAACGTCATATTTCATAATAAAACATTAAATTGGTTATAAAATAAGCGGTTTTAATATCCACCGTATATTAAACACAAACAAAATATAACATTAAGTATTCAGATCAGCTTTTGACGTCATTATCTATCCAATGTTAGACGAGTTTCACAGTTTATGATTAGATTTACTTTTAAATTATGAAAATAAGCCAGTAATAGAAGGACTTACAATAAATTCCTTGAAAATCTAAATCCTAGTAATGAAATTCTTTATACATATTACTAAAATATCTAAAATGGCAAAGAATGAACTTTACAAATTGTAGTTGATGTATAATTATGTAATACTGGTATTACTCTGATGATCAGGTTTCGGTATGACGTCAATGGAAATAACGGTTTTGGTAACTAATGCTGCTTTAATTTACATCCCATTAAGCCTTATTTAAGCATTCGTCATTTTATCGTTCTAATATTCGCAAATTATTTATTGCCACATCACTACTGCTGAGTTTAAAACTTATACGTAACACATTAACCTGTTTCTATTTCTTGGCTGGGTGTTTTTCAACTCTTGTTTCTGTCACCAAAGTTGTTTTGTTCAAGTTTCATACGAGAATGTTAAGCAGATCGGCTACCATTTTTTAATTTAAAACTAAATCCACGTGCTTAAAGATACATTCCGGAGAAAATTCCAACAATAGTCTTTCGCAGGGGACTAATTTTAAAAATAGATGCATACGAGATTGTATTCAGCTATTTTCATATAATCTTGTTGAGTTTAGAAATGGACATGGCTAGCCTTGTGCATAATACGGTGATTTCTATTCCAAACCAATGTGTACAGCAGAACTACTGCGTTTTCATCTCAATTGAATGCAATTTGTTTTCAAAGGATATTCTGTGGTGAACGACCTGGACTTCCCCGCCTCTAGGGCTTGTCAAAACTTTGACGGACGACACTGAACAACATGGCTGTCTTGTTTGAACAAAGAACTTTCCATTGTGTTGTTTTGACTTACGGTATATTATTTGCAAGCTGTTTTTTGTATATACGTTTTTAAAGTAGGTTTACTTTGTTTCTTGCTTTCCAGATATTTTGATGGTTTATTTGATTGTTCAGTTTTGTGTATAATAATCAAGCTTAATCAAGGAAATCTTAAAGTAGGTATTGATTATATATTCAAAGAGAAACTCAAAGTTAAGTATCAGCAATAATACAGCAGCATCGAAGCCTTCATTGAGGGTAATTAAAGTCATCGATGAGGCCACCTTTACTAAGCAATGTTTTGTAGTGAAGTAAAGGTCGTGGAGTACTTTGATGATATTTTATAAAGATGTTTTCTGTCACCTTTAAATGTTGGTATAATAGAATTTAAGATTGAACATTTTGTATGCAAAGAAACAACATAATTGAACAGTATGCGAGAAGTTAAGTATAGTATTCTAAATTATTAAGAAGTGGAAACTTTTACATCCGCCATTTATTTATAAAAAAATATCCTTAGTATAATATTGACGATAATAAAAAATATATGTTTTTGAAATTAGTCGTATTGGTTTATAAATTAGGTATTTTTATTACAAGCACCAGACCAAAGCGAATGCTCTGCGAAACAGAAACTGGTTTTGATTGCATTGTTGTTTTTTTCTGTGTGTATGTTTGAACGGATTCTGATAAGCCAGACGTTTGGTTTATTTCTAGTAGAGCTTTTAAAAACTTTATTATATTTATTAATCTGAAAGACTTCATACATAGCTCACAATTATCAGTAATTTTTGAAAATTCTCTTTTGTTTTAAAAGCTTTTCTCGTATTATTTATTAACACGTAAAACGGAATCTAATATTTTCTAATTATGTGAATGTCTTGACCTAGACACTTAGTAAATGTCGTCTGATATATCTATTGATTGATACATTACATGTACAGTTTTACATTGGGATATGATCGTAATTAAACGGAGCATCAAAATAAATACCAGTTTTGGACTAACAGATAACTATTCTTATTATTAAATTGGATTACTTTTTGAGTTGGTATTCATAAGAAAGCAGAAGCTCGGCTCAGGTGCCGCAGACTTCTGAAGAATATATTATCTATAATGAATAATGTTTCATTTGTCAGACATCTAGTATTATATCCACTATATTCATACTCATAAATTTTTAATTTTGATATATAGAAAAACATTTTGTTTGTCACAACATTCAAAAGCTGCCGTTTTACATTACGATACGGTTTGAATACGTTCTCGGTATTTTTACTGGCTAGTGACGTCACTCCGACGGGACCTGTTGTCGCCTCGGATGCAGTCTCCGACCAAACCTGCTCCAGCTAATGGCTGAGGGAGGCCACTAACGCCCACACTGCGTCAGTCACACAATTTTGCAGATTAAAATTGTTTATGTTTTTATTGCGTTTCGTCTTGGCACAACCTTTTTGGCTTGTAAAAGTGTCGGATTTCTTTACTTTCAATTATAATGTTTTTTTTGTTTTACAGGCACCGGTATACCTCCGTCTCCTCTACCCATACACAAGACAACAGAATCCAGAAAATAGATGGGCAACTACGAGTATGGTTGCGAAGAAAGACTATTCTTTTTGGAAAATGGAAAATACACATTATGCTTCAAATCAGGTCACCCTAACCACTAGGACCTTTCCCTTGGGGTGAAGTCAAAGCGTAAACCTACCTGATAAAACACTATGTATTAACCTTTCTCCGAAAGAAGGACTTCCAAACAAG